AAAACGTTGAATCAGACACAAAGGAATTATACAGCTACAGAAAGAGAAACATTAGCCGTATTAATGGCTGTACACAAATTTCGAGTTTATTTCGGCAAATCGCCAGTAACAGTCTTTTCGGATCATGCGGCTGTTGGTAGACTTTACTCGGGAAAAAAACCTAACGCCCAGGTTAATAAGATGGGCTTTAAAACTCCAAGAATATAATATCACAATAAAATATAAACCGGGTAAGGAAAACAATGTAGCTGACGCACTTTCTCGTATAAAACTGGACGATGAAGGAAATGAACTTAAATGCGCTGTGTTGACTTCAAAAATTTTAGATTCTAGAGATACGGTTATTACTGAACTGAAAGCTGATCCTGAATTTGGAAATATCTATGCTTATTTGAAAGACCCCGAAAGCTTTGAGCACACAGATATCGATGCGATAAGAAATAGAGCAAAAAACTATGAAATAATAGATAATTTATTATTTTATACGAAAACAACAAACGAAAATCTTGAGTATAAACCAGTCATCCCAGCCTCGCTTCGATTAAGCATTTTGAAGGAATTGCACGAAAAAAAAAAACAGCGGGCCACCTAGGGGTCAGAAAGACTTTAAAAAGGGTACGCGAGGCGGTATATATTTCCCGCAATTATACAAAATAGTAACGGCGTATGTCAGGTCCTGCAATCAATGTCAGTTAATAAATGATATTAATTACAGCCCGGCCGGGTACTTAAATAGCATTCGCGCTACATTTCCGAATGAAATTTTAGGCATAGATCTCCTTGGTCCCTTCCCCCAGAGCGAGTTAAATAAAAATCGTTTTCTTTTAGTAATAGTAGATCATTTTTCAAAATGGATAGAAATTGTTCCACTTAAACGCGCGTCAGCCAAAACAGTCGCAGATGCATTCTTACAGAGATACATTTTAAAATAAAGTCATTAGCGATAACGGAAAACAATTCATTAGTCAAATATTTGAAAACATATGCAATGGACTTGGCATACGCCATATCAAAATGGTTCCGTATAGACCACAGGCTAACATAGCAGAAAGAGTTAATAAAAACATTGTAAAAATAATTCGCAAGTTACGTTAGCACACATCACAAGCGCTGGGATGGCTACATAAATGAATTAGCTTATGCTTTAAGAACGGCACAATCATGATACTACGGGAAAAACTCCAGCAGAATTATTTTTAGGCAGAAAGTTAATTACGCCTTTAGATAAATTATTCTTTGTGCAACAAAGAGAGCAGGAGTTTAAACAAAAAAGATGTGCAAAACTTGATTGATCAGGCGCTTAAAAGCTCGGATACGGCAAGAAATAGGCAGAAACTATATTACGATAGAAAAACGCCGTGAAGCAGATTTTAAAGTTGGGGATAAAGTATTGAAGCGGAAATTTTCTTTATCAAGTGCCCCAGACAATTTTATGGCAAAGCTAGCTCCAAAGTTTGAAGGCCCCTATGTAATTCAGGAAATCAAAGGAGTAGTCTTATATCTTAAAACGAGAGAGGGGAAATCTGTAAAGCAAGTCCCGACCAGGTGAAAAAATACTATAATCCAAATGATTTTGAAATCCTTAAAAGTTTCTTGCAGGACTCAAGTCTAAACGAAATAGAAGGGCCAGAGACTGCAACAACTATTCCACCACCCAAGAAACGGAGAACTGAAGAGAGACCTAGCACTTCTACAACCCGGACGTCGGTATCAAAAAGAAAAAATGATTTTCAAACTCCGGCGTTTAAGAAAAACAAAAATACAGATGAACCGGGTAAAGAAACCGTGGTAAAGACGAAAACACCACCTACAAAAGATGGCAGGAGAAATTACACATCAAGGAGAACGCGCACACGGCCACAGAGTCAGGTGCCAGCAAGGCCGCCGTTCCGGAAACTGAAACGCCAACAGGAAACACAAAAATACGAGGAACAGAAGAAATTCAAGAAGGACTCCAGACCAGAGGACGTCAAGACCAGCCGTCCCAGGGAGAAACAGAAAGGCCAACAACCAGACGATTACTCCGCCAAGAGGCCAGCATGTAGAGGACGCAAAAGAAAAAGTCAGGTGGACGACACTTGGAGGGCAGTAAGGAGAAGATTAACATCCATGAAACCTCTAACTTGGGACCAATTCTGCCAAAAACGAATGACGGAGTTTCAAGCATCGAAAACTCAAAGATAAGTTAAAACCTTCTATAAATTTTTTTTTCTCTTTTGTTCCGAAATGTTATGCATAAGTACGAAGTTCTATGTTTTGACGAAAGTCAATATGTCTCGGTTGAGACTTAGTTTTGTTTTACTTTATTTAGCTAAGGCAAAAGTATTATTTTCTTTAAGTGTAAAAGCTAAAACAAGCATTTTCTGTTGGTCGAAAGACTAATTCTGTTATGTTAAAGCCAAAATTTGGCCGAAGATAAAAATCGTATTCTTGTATTAATAAGAATTTTACTTTCAGTGCCGCCAGCTTGGCGAAGAATGAGTAAAGTAAAAATTTATTTTCTCTTATTCATTTTATGGTAAATTGTTTGTTTTTTTAAGTAAAAATAAGTCGACATGTAAATGGTTTATGTGTATGTGCTATTCTGAAAAAACGCGCAAGGAGTTTGCGATTGTGCACTTTTTCCCAATTTTGCAGTTAATATTTGTCATGATTAAGCAGTTTTGTTACATAAAATTTCTAGCATAAGTGTAATTCGGCTAGTAGATTGTTGGAAAGTGTTCAGTAAATAAAAAGAAAAGAAACATGTCTTTACTTCGTGAAGACAAAATGGAGGGTTGCTGTAGCAGAGTTGGTCGCCAAATTTTCGCCAAAAAATCGCCAAGTTGCCATAATCCAAAGATCAACCCCTATTTGTTTTAACTGCAATAAATTAGACTAATTTATTGCATGACTTAGTTTTTTTTTACTTTTAGGCTGAACCAGAGTAGGAGGTTACAATAAATAAGATATTTCCTTTGAATAGTCCCAATAATAGTACATGACATACTACTGCTTTCCTATTGGATGGCATAAACCCTCCAATTGGCATTAAGTGAATAACGCCATAGAGGACCGGCAACAGGTGCATACTTGTCTAGATGTCTAGACTAGTTCAGTCACATTTAAAATATTATAGTGAGACATTGCATATTGCTCTGATGTAGTAAAGTGCATTCTGACATGGAGTCCCAGTTCTTATTTGTATACAAAATTAGCAGTGTTTAGTTTTTATTTATATATAAAATGAAACCTTTCCTTGTGTCTGCCTCTGCTAGTTCATGTCGTAAGTGTTTAAATAGCCCCGATCCATTTTATTATAGATGAGGTAGTTGTAAAATAAAGTAGTCATACTTTACTATCAGCTATATGCTCAGTGCTAGTTTTTGAAGAATTATCCTCTTTGGAAATGCAGGAATACAATTCTGATGAATACCTAATTGACCTCAACGACAAAGGTTTTGAAACTGAAGATGATTCTGTTCGTAAAAGATTTGACCAGCACTAGATCTGGGACTACCTAAAAATCTTTAGCATCAAGACTGCATGAAACTGACTGACTGACTGTTAGCATCAAGACTGCATGAAAAAAACTTGTTTGAAAAAGGAGCTAAGGTATCCTTCTTTCAATTAAGAGAAAGTGTATTTCTGCAATACTTTTGAAGTAATTATGCATTTGTGTATTGCCATAACTTACATGGTTTAATGGAAAAGTTGGGAATTTCAGCCTATGATGCAACTCATCGTATGCTGCGTCAAAGTTATTAACTAAAAAGCATGATATAATGGAAATACAACTGAAGAAATAAATATCAAATGATGAATCTGTCAGAAAAGCAGATGAGTTCCTCATGAAAACTTTCTTCTTGCATGGTTTAAGCATGATCTATTTAAAATTTTGGAATTGGTTATTAAGTGCTACAAGCATAGGACATTTTATCACAATCACATTTATACAAATTACTGCCTTTAAAATTACAAAGCGCCTATATTCAATTATTGTTAAGTAGTTCAATAATGAGTTGGGACTATATTCCCAACTAAAATCTCAATGCATGCTTCATGGCCATACCTTACTTAATAGGCACAGAATGAACTTAATAAATCTTTTCTGATCAGTAGCATAGCTAGGGTTTTCAGCGCCCGGGGACAACTGAAGATTTTGCGCCCCTTTCTCTGTGCCAAGAACGGAAAACATTTCATTCTAAAATTCCGTAACATCAGTTAGGCGCCCCCTGAATGCTGCGCCCGGGGACAGATGTCCCCCCTTGCCCCACCCTAGCTACGCCACTGTTTCTGATAGACACATGACTTAATTTTTGTGGTCGTTTTCCATTTAATCTTGAAATAAGTAAACAAGTGTACTTATCTTCTGTAACGGCATTGGCACTATTTGGGCTTAAGAAAGTGTGATTTGTTGCCAAATGTTACAAAAGCATACACAAAAAAAGAAATTGAATATAATAAACAATAATTATCTACACAGCCTAAGTTATTTAATATATACATATAGGAAGAATTTAATATAAGTTTGTAATTTATATAGTATTTAATTAAATAAATTGTAAAAATAATATTTTAAATAACGTAAACATAACAGAAAATTCATTTTGTACAACTATTTTTGTGGCCACAGTTCAGCAATAGCTCTTAATAATGCCTCAAATAATAAACATGCTGAAAATCACAGTGAACTTGGTGCCTGAACATTAAATCACTAAATGGTTGCTTGTCTAGCATATATTAATGGGACATTACTAACATATATTACTGGACTTTTCTAATGTATATGGGCATATTATGCCCATTTCCACAAATTTTCTCACTTGATAAAATCATTTTTATTGGAAAAAAATATAGCATCTATTTCATTTGATGGTAGATGAAAAATAGTTAGTATAATTAAATATTTGCAATGAAAAACAGCAATATTCTAAAAGCAAAAATTTTCACTAGCTGAAGAAATGTGAACTACGGGCAAAAAAATCATTAAAGCATAACAGGGTAGAAGAAATGCGCACCTGTAACTGTTTGTTTCTCGCCAATTCAGACACATGACAACATTAATATCCTTTGCGAAGACCGCTACAGAAGATATATGTACCTAAATCAGTATATAATTTAAAAAGCATGCCAACATACTTCTCTGTTCAAATGTTAATATAAATATAGCATAATTTGGTATTAATATTTCAAATATTTTCACAACAAATATAGTCTCCGAGTGATGGATATTGTCAAGATCAAAGGCAAAAAAAGAAATGCATCAAAAATAAATAAAAAAGTAGCTGAATTCTAAATTATGATTAATTACATATAAATTATTATAAGCCTTTTCAGCTTATTTTTTAATTATTTTTGTTACCACATTAAATAAATTTAAAAGGAAAAATATTAACCTTTGGAATTAGTGATGGTTTTAAGACAAGACGAGAGTCATAAGACCGCGAATCAAGTTCCCGATCTTCGATAATTTTGAATGTACCATCAGTAAGACTAACAAGGAGTATGATATATAATTTTTTGTCCTTTGGAACTTTGTTGTCTTCCCATATTCCATAGAAGCGAAGCATTTTGGGGTAGGTTTCAAGAAAGTGGGCTAATTTATAGGCCTTTTGAGTAGCTGTTCTTCGGCGAAAGTCTTTTTGTATCTGAAAGTGAACATATAAAGAAAATTGAATCTTCATTTATATAAAAGTAGACTTTTTCTTCACTGATAAATATTGTTACGTAGAAAAAAAAAATAATATTTTTCATTTAACTTTTATCTCTTTAAAGCTGACTCCTTGGTGCCGCGACAAAAAAAAAAAAAAAAACTTCTCTAAACTACTAAACTACTAAAGTTGTACATACAATAATCAAAACTTTTAAATCTAAGAACACATCAAAGAAAGATATCCTCCCCTGGTGTTTTGGTAGAATCACGATTAATTGACAAAAACAAAACTTCGAAAATGCACTTTCCGTAACTAAATCTTTAACACTCTCACTAAATTAAAACTAAATTAACACTATCTCTCACTAAATTAAAACTAATTTATATCTCCAAACCTGAAAACACATAAATTTCAATACAAAATCTAGAGATAGCCTTAAACCTTTAACCTTTCAAATACCACACAGAAATCTCTTCAAAACACCGGGGAAAGATACAATCTCACAATTAAGAAGTCTTACTCATCATAATCAAAATAAATTCAGTAAACCGATCGTATAGTCACCAACACTTAAAATGATTTTTTTTTTTACTACCGCAATATAATTACCCAGGTTCGGTTGAAAAAACCATGTTTCCGTTAGGATCACATGGGTGACCTACAGTAGACCACAATTAATACACACAAAAAAAAAAAAACATACAATATTAAAGATAATAAACACATTTATTGAAAATTCCCACACATTATAACTTAAGATAGCTGGCCAGACTACCCCTACAAAATCTTTTAAAGTTACTCATTGGCTCAAACAACACTAAAATTAAAAATTTAGCCAATCTTAAGGAAACTTGGACTCCCCTTCACCAATTAAAAGAAAGCTAATAAATAGCCACTGAAATTCTCAGAAATTCAGAACTTTCAACAAGATGACAGATCCTTCTTTCCCACGCAACAGAAGAATGTTTCCAACCTATAACTCTGTCAAAAATCGCTGCCCCTTAGAACTATTCGCCTCTGAACGAGAAAAACACGTGTTTTCAACCCCCGCGAAAAAAGGGGAAAATGCAGCTGGACAGTGACCTCTAACCTCCAAACAAGCCTACGCGTGAGAAACGGAAATACAACCGCGCCCTTTTAACTGTAACACATATTCTGCCAAACTTAAGGGAGCTTTGCCGTAAAGTTTAACAATATTAAATATTATACATTAATTTAAAATAAGCTCAATACAAATTCATTAAACACAGTAAAATAATATAATAACTAAGAATACAATATGCACTGTAAAATAACACGCAATAATTATACACAACAAAAAATACATAAGAATTTTCCATAACAATATTAAATAATTAGAAACATACACAAAAATAAATAAATAAGTTCCATTTTTCATAACATTGCAGAATTATTTAAAGATTAAAAATTTAAAAAAATCAGTGTTCATTTTAATAACACATTTTAATAACATTTAATAACATTTTAATAACACATTTAATAACACACATTTTAACAACAAATAAATAAATTTATTTGCTTGAAACAGAAAAAGGGAAAGAAATAATATGAATGTTTTGAAAAATTAAGTTACAGAACATACTACATCATGAATTTAAATTTCAGTTAAAGCAGAAAAGAATTTTACTCCTTTAAAGAATAAAATCCTCACATCGCTATTTTTAACAGTATGTGCTTTCATTAAAAAGAATTATTTCCTACATCGTTAAACCCTTTTCTAGAAATACAGAAATTTGCGGTTGATCTTATCTTTTTCAACTTAAAAACCAACTTCAATATATAGTTTGCTGCATATTTTAGATTTTCTTTTCAGTTTTTAATTTGCTGATATAAACAGGATTGGCTGTAAAGTAAAATGCTTAATAATTTCTTTTTGCAACAGGGGATTTTTTTCCTTCAAGAAGAGTTGGACTATATCTTCTCATATAGTCCAACTGCACTATTGATTTGATTTCTGCACTTCATCTTATCCATATTTTCCCCTTGTTGTTTTCGGATTGGATTTCAATTTATTGGATTATGCCTATTTGCAAACAGGGAAGAATGTGTTAGCAGGAGATTTATTAAGGGAAACTGGCTTATATTCATATTATACATGAGGAAAACCACAAAATGTTCATGTAACTGATCCTTTGCTGAGATTTCAACCCACGTCAAACTACCTCTGTTCAGTGGTTGTATCTGCTAGTGAGCTGCTGTTTCTTGAGCATAAATAGTATTTTAAACTCGTGACATGATTTTGAAAAAAGAAAATATGTCAAAATTCTGTTCTGAAGCAAAGTTTGCAAAAATTCTCAATTCAAAATTATCAAAATCTTATCCAAAGCTTTATTTAGGTTTTATGATCATATTCACTTTATTATAAAATGAAAGAAAAGTTATAATTCTACAATAAGAATGATAGAGAACATGCCTTAGTTCTTTGCATGAATGTGCTGCCATCTGAATTTGTTAATGTCTTTCAATATAAGTTATGCTTTGCTTAAATTACAACTAGAAACCAGTTATTAATTATGAAAATATAATGAATTGATTTTCAATAAACTGGAATTAATATCACATTTTTAGTACTAAAAAGATAATTATTACTGGAATACAAAAAATAATGAAAATGTGTAAAATTTAATGACAGTTAGAAAGTAAGTTATATAAGTAGAGAAATGAAAAAAAAAAAAAAAAAAAATACAAAACATAAACAGTAATTAATGCTGATAACAAACTAAAAGTATATATACAATATTTATGAAATTCAAAGAAAATCTATACCTCACTCTCAGGCAGTAAATGAGAAAATTCAGCAATAGGTGTTTTCAGTTTGAAACCCGTGTTTGTTAAAAATTCGTTTGTGAAGGAGTCACAATTAATCAATGTATATTTATTTCCATAAATTTCTAGGCATGTTCCAATATTAAAATCTTGAATTGTATAAAATGTATCATTCTTCCAAACATTAGTAATTGTCTTTTTTAATTTTTGTCTTGTAATCAAGCAACCTGCAAGAGAGAAAATTGGATATATTTTTTTTTCATTCAACTTGTGTATTGATTGCAAGATTATATCAAAACCTCAGACTTTTCCTTTACACATAAAAACAGTTATTTTTGCACTAAAAATATTTCTTATAAATCTGGAATAGCAATGTATGTCATAAACATAAAAATTTGATTCTTTACTTCTAATTAAAATAAACTAATTGTTTGAAAAAACAATTGGCTAATCTTCCCAGAACAATGATGCAGTTATTAAGTTTTAGGATATTTGGTTAATTTTTTATACATGTTAGTGGATTGAATTGCTCTTGTATAGAAATTATTTACTTCTATACAGTACGTACAGATGTCATACAAAAAAAATTGTCTAATTGGATTCAGGAATGGTCAAAATGGATATTCTATTGAAATATGATACCCAAAATTTTTCGCAGATACAATATTTCCTTTACTTCGTACAAGGAAGCAAAAATGAAAAAACATATAATGTAATTCTGTAAAATATTAAATGTTTATAATTAAATATATCATGATTTAAATGCATTTTTATTTAAATCAATCAGATTAAAAAGTAAAAAAAAATCATACTTTTTTTAAATATGTATGTACTACTTCTACTGTTACTAGAATGGAGCAGCATAATGCTATGTGTAGTATTGCTAAGTTGCATAGATGCAAAATGTAGGGTAGTGTATAATGTAAAGTTTGAAAAATACTGGAAAGCTGCTATTTAAGATGTTGAAACTGCTCAACTAATTTGAATATACTTTCACTAACTTATTTTGAAAATATAAGTCGTTCCCATATAAATATTAGTAGCTCCCACACTGCTGTTTTCAAAAGGGTTTTTTTTTTTTTTTTTTTTTTAAATAAGTATTGTTCCTATCACTGTTTGAAGTATTACTGTTCACTGTTGAAATATTGTATTGTTCCTATCACTGTAACATGAGGATTATATTTTTAAGTAACATCTATTTTGCAATAAAAATGAAACAAACAATTTAAAATAAATAAATAAAATAAAATCTGAAAGCTTTCAGATTTTATATTATGCCCAAATAGGCCATTTTTTTACATACATGTACATTAAGACACAATAACATGCCGAACAAATACTAATTCAGAAGTCAAGCAACAAAAATCAGTTTCATACATGTACATGTTTCGAAATCATTTGGGTTAACACCACATTGTGCTAAAAATATTTATTAACAGCATATCTTTAGAATTTCTGATAAACAGTCTTGCATGTTGGAGATAAAAATGTTTTATTTTCTACAGCATTGTCAATGCTTGCTTTGAATCTATTAAAATTTGACAAAATATTAAATAGACAATAAAACAAATTCTAAATTTGGGCTTCCAGGTGCCCATTTTTGAGTGCATTCGAAATTTGATGAATCTAGGTACCGTTGTTTTTTTCACAGTGCGAGAAACATACATACATTCATGTAGATTATTCATTATTTACTTTCTTTAAATACATACACGATGATAATATTAGGTGGCAACAATTTGAAAAGTGATTCGGACATTTTAAGACTAGCCCTTTTGAGCTAATACCCATTTGGGCTAAATACTCATCTGTTTTCTGAATGTATGCCTATTTTTGTATGTAATTTCACTGTCGCTTTAAACAAATATCATAACAAACATTCCTTTGTAACCATACAATTGAGTTTTTGGATTTCTTTCTCATAGAACTCTACCATCTGTGTTTTGATCTTCCTTGAACAATCTCACTCATTTTGGCCCATTATTGTTACTCACTGCATTGTTATTATATACACTTCATATATCTAAAAATGAATATCTGCAACTGTCACATTTATTGTTTTTAAGAACCGAATGACTGATCATATTACATACTCCTATTGTAATTCACTGCATTGCTATTATACCCTTCACATATCTAGCAATGGATATCTGCAACTGTCATAATTATTGCTGTTATTAAGAACCAGACGACTAGCCATATTACATAGTCTGTGAGGTGTTTGATTTTCCTAAATATTTTAATCTTAAACTATGAAGCATACAGAGCGATGCTGTGAATGCAAGTACCATTTAATTATGTAAAAAAAAATGCTGGGAACCTGTGCATGTAGTTATACTCATGTGTACAATATTTTAAAGAGTATTCACATATTGACCTTACTTAAAATATTAACTAACATTTTGTGTGAGTATTTATAACATATAAATATAATATATATATATATATATATATATATATATACACTCATACAAAGTCACTGTAACAGCTAACAAAAATATTCGAAGTTAATTACTAGGATAATTTTCATTAAAAAATATATTCATTCAGAATTATTCTTCTACTGATTTGAAATTTGGTTTTTATTGATTCCTTTCAAAATTTTTAAATTGCATTACTTAAAAAGGTATTAAAATAGTTTAAAAAGTAAAATCCAATGTTTTGAAAAATGCATAAAAATATTAATAAAATATAGTAATATTAATAATTATGAGAATACTTACAATACCAGATTAATAAAAATTCTTAAAATATGGCATATTTATTTTTCAGTTTTTAAATACTTCATTATATTTGATCAAATTAGATAAAATATCTTATGATACATTCTATGAATTTGTACAAATTTAAAACATCTAAAATCTTTTATATTTATAAATAAATATAATATTTTTGTATTTATATGCATATAATACATACCCTTGTCTTGATTAATTTTCTTTAACTTTGGATCATAAATCTTAATGGAACCATCTTCCAAGTAATAAAGCACTTTGCATGTTTTATATTCACCAGTAGTACTATCTTTATAATAAGCATCAAAACAGAGTTTCTGTATATTAATAATATAACAAAAAATTATTTTAAATTTTTAAATAGTATTCCAAACTAAATTTTGTATATAAAATAAAATCATGAATAATACTGCAGTTGAAATATTAACATGTTTAAGAAGTTCCACATAAAAAAGCAGAAAAGATGATATATTTAACTAATGTAAAGAAGTACAAAGTAAAAAAAGGGCATTAAAATACTTTGCATTTAAAAGAAATTGTGGATTATAAATGAGTATAGTTGAAACCTCCTATAACAAACTTCAAGAGACTGGGAATTTGGTTTGCTATATCGAAACCGGCAAGAAAAAGTAAATTGTCTCAAAAAAATATGAAAAAGAATAACAAAAAATACTGATGAATACACTAACTTAAGATATGTGTGGTTACAAAGAGAAGTTTCAATAACATTCATAAAGAGTATTCTATTGGTTTGAAACATAAGTAATGGCCGTTTATGTTGTGTTTAAAATTACGTGGTAAAAATAAAATATTATTAGCATAATGTTTTGTGTTATACGAAAGAGAATCTTTCCCTCTGCAAGATGGTATATTTGATTTTTTTGCCTGAGCTAATTTTTATTATTTTTCAGATCATTAAATTGGAGTGTCAAGTCGATAAAAATAAGCATTTTCAACACCTTCTTTTTGTGTTTACTCGAGGCACCAATGCTGCAGAAGCTGCCTGAGAGATTTGTTTGCGAGTATGGAGAAGGTGCAATGCCTGAGCGCAAGAAATTGGTTTGTCAAATTAAAAAATGGAAATTTCAACCTCAAAGACGCTGCTTGTTCCTTACGACCAAATGAGTTTGATGAAAAGCATCTCATTCAACTTCTGCACGAAGACATGCATCAAACCACTCGAGAATTAGTCGAACGAACGGGTTGTAGCCGAATGACTAAAGTTCGACATCTTGGGTCTATAGAAGTCCTCCAAAAACTCAAATATTATTGAATAAGTTTTTTTTTTTTTTTTTTTTTTGTTGAAATAAAAATTTTTAAATTAAAAAAACGGCCATTACTTGTGTTTCAACCCAATATGTCTTTCAAAAGACCTAAAAAAGAATGAAGAAACCCCATTTGGAGGACTGAATTTTAATAGCATTTATATTCCTCCCCCCCCCAAAAAAAAATATAAGGTTAAAAAAAATTTCTTTTCTAAAACATAATCAACTCATAAGTTTCAATCATAAAATTCACTACTTCCTCTTTCTCTAAATAGTAAACATTTCAAAACTTCCATAATTAAATAATAGCCTTGAACAGAACTCTGTCTGACAACTCAGTCAAAGAATTTGAATGACATCAAAGAACCCACTTTTGGTCTTTGGTTTAATGGTTATATATACCATATGGTGCTTAATGCTATGTAGTTAATAGCCACATATGGTGTCATGATGCCTAATATTTACGTATTGTGTTCTCATTCTTCTAGATTAGGTGTCGCATATGTTTTGCATAGTCTTAAGTTTTAAAGTCACAGTTTAAAAAAAAAAAAAAAAAAGTTAAAAGTTTTAAAGTCCAGTTGGGAAGATAGATGCCACATAAGGTTGCAGCTACTCTGCAGTTATTTTCAGATAGTCCGCAGCTTTTATGCTCTGTTCACCACAACTAAGGGTCGCAGAACTGCCCATGAGAACCTTCCCCAAAATATAATACCACCACCGCCACCAGCATGTATATGACCTGCTGTACAAGACAAAGCAACTGTTCACTTGGAAGACCTGCTATACACAGTGGAGGAGGAGGAGCAAGTGCTTGCCCAAGACCATCGACATGATGAATGAGAAATCATGATTTATCCAACCAGGCAATTGTCTTCCACTTTTCCATGGTTCAGTCTCTATGTTCCCAGGCTCACTGTAGGTATAGTTGACAGTGATGCATGGTCAACAGACGCACATGAGCAGAACATTTTCTGTGCAGTCCCATATCCAATAGTGCCCATTGAACTGTGTGTTCTGAAAAACACTGCACTTGGACCTGCATTGTACTGTCAGCCGAGTCACAGTCTGATGTCGATTTTGCTGTATCAAGCCAGTCTCTGACATCCTTTTTCTTTGATGTTATGTGGAGGTCCAACACCTTGGCATCTACTGCTGGTTTCACCATCATTTATCCACTTTGCATAAGTACTAACAATGGCAGTTCATGAACAACCTACCAGTCATGCAGTTTCAGAGATACTCATTCCAAGTCTTCTTGCCATTACAATCTGCCCTTTATCAAATTTGTTTCAATCAGCAGTCTTTCCTATTATTTTCAAAAGTAAGTACAAGAATGATTCCTTACCTTCTCCAGCAGCAATTAAATACCATTCTCACTTAATCACAAGCCCTCCATATCATCAAAATAGATGAGTTCAGTGAAAAATGTGGTTATGGTCATAATGTTCTGGCTCGTCAGTGAAACTTGGAATTACAACAGGTTCCCACAAAAAATGAAAATAATATATAATAATAATTATATAATAATTATTGCACATATAATAAATATATAATAATTATTGCACATATAAGTTGGTTGCTTGAGGAAAATATAAAGAGAAAATCTTCATTCTCCATTACTAGTCTATTTATCTTATATATTCTCAATCTCATTTTTTAATAATATTTAATCGAAAATGGAAAAAAATATAAAACTGTGATAAACCATTTTTTGATACTTCCTTCTTATAGCAAACCTCAAGATTGAATTGCTAATCAATCAAAATATCTCGCCAAAATCTCACCATGTATTTGCCATACCTCATTACATGTTACATCTCGGTTGATTATTGATTAAATTTTGGGAGCTGCTATAATAAGGAAGTACCCATTTTTTCATATGGTTCTTTTAATTTTTCGTATGATTTTTTGTACATGCTTTTAATATAGAGTACAAAAAAAACTGATGATTTAGCACATATGCTACTAGGGTAAGTATCCAAAATTTCACCAGAAACCAACTAACAACAACATATACCTGACCATGCGCTATTGCATGATTGCATTTAATAAGATGATAATACTGCACTAATGCATGATCAGTAATGAACCTGTTAGTGGTTTTATTTAAATATATAATTTTGCCTGTTATAGTACTATAACATGGCATTTTATTCATTTTGAATATCCAGATGAAATTTTTTTATTATTATTACTTTTTTACTCTTGCTAAGCAAATGTTTAAGTGATCATGCATCAGTTGTTCGGTTGTAAAAATTTACCGTTTCATTTTGTTATAGAACAGTTATTATATCCCATTTCCTAGTACTTTTCCATTAAATCCATAACCCTTGCAACTTTTTTTTTTTTTTTTTTTTTTTTACATCTGATTTATTTGCTTTGCTTTACCCCACCAACACCTGTAGTTGATTCTGTGACATGGAATTTGCTTTAAGAGATGAAGAAACAGCTATACTGTTTCATCAAGAAAGAGATCTCTTTGCAAAGAGAGACTGTTTTTCAAATAACCACTTCATTAAATTAAAATGTGACTTAAAGCTAAAATAGCTATGCTGAACTTCACTCCTGCTGGGAAAAAAAAAAAAAAAAAAAGGTGTTTGAACATAACATGGTTTGTTGGATCACACATTCCTTTTGTTACTGCTGTATAATCCATTTACTTATAATGTCAAGAGTTAGTGTCTATTGAAATTTAAGAATCAAAGCTTATTTTAAATGAACAACAGCACATCAGTTAAATGGAATAATTACATAAGAGAAGTGTTTGCTAATTCCTCATTTTCTTATCTTAATGCCAAAATTGTTGGAATCAACAAAATTGTAGATAGAAATTGATGAAAACTTTTAACAAAAAAGAAAATAAGGTACTCTCTTGATTATCCACAATCCCTCTAAAAAGGATTCACAAGGCAATGTACTATGTCACCAAAATGTATTTATGTGAAAACCAGGGTCAACCCTCTGCAACCTTTGCCAGTTCTAAATTCTGTTGCCTTCTTAAATTCTAAAAATTTTGTTATCCTTAAATTTTTCTGCTCGGTACTTCTCTAAATTATTCAACTTTTCTTATCACTAAATTTTAGTGTCCAGTGCAACCAAATCAGCCTGGTGGCAATCCAGGTATGTGTATGTGCACAGCTGATTACTGGCTTCATAACCAATCATCATTTTTCTTAACAGTATTTATTTCTGTTACATATCAGTACATTTTTTTTTTTTTTTTTTTTTTTATAATGGTGGACTGTGGGGCTTGCCAGCTGATGGAATAAAAAGAATTGCATTTTCTCAGAAATATGATGTTTTGTCCAACAGTAAAGATTACAAAAATTGAAGCTGTACTTCATAGCAAAAATTCCTTGAAGCTTAAACAGTCAAAATTTGTGCCCTAATGCCAAATTTGTAAAATTCTCTGATTTTTTTTAGCATCAGATCACTGTGTACATGGAAGGGATGACAATGTATGCAGTGCTAAGTTGTGCATGATACTAAGTTTCTGCAATTTTCAAATATTTTTTAAGCTAAAACAGATCGCTATGTACATGGGCAGAACAATGTAAAAAAGAAGTGTTTTTATTGTATATGTTTCTTGCATTTTTAATTTTGTTAATTGGCTGTTGTTTTATGTAATTCTTAATGCACCATCGTATTTGAAAATGGTTTATATCTTTTGCATCTTAGCCTGATGAAAAATTAGTTGCTAATGGTTTGTGACTTTTCAGAAGAAGAAGAATCAGAATGTTCTGAAAAAAATAACATAGGCCTCGTTTTTAAGGATTTTGTCTGGAAATTAAAGAATGTTCTTTTTTGCTATTCCCAGTCATTCCATTTCATCTGGTTTCAAGCCAAAAGCATAGAAATTAAAGAAGCCAAGATGTGCCAATATGACATGAAAAATTCCTGTTATAACTGAAATGGAAAAGTATTAAATTCTTCTATGAAATGGAAAGGGTGAAAAAAGAGGCTGTTGAGATTTAAATCAAGCCCAGTACTATAATTAGTAAATAAAATATTCACTAATTATAGTACTTTAATTGTATTACAAATTATTAAGCAGGGGGAAAACTTATATATATTTCATTTTCTGTGTTTAATTACCAAACAATAATATTTTTATTTATTCAAAAATAAAAGCATCAAAAGTAATACAGATAAATTATCAAACAGAAAAAAAAAAAAAAAAAAAAAAAAAATGGAACTTATATTATCCCATCAACCATGAAACTGTCTCTAATGTGATTTACTGCGAGTAATGGATAAGCAGTACGTCATAACATCTACACTTTTCATTTGATGTAACCCAATTGATTCTCTCTCTCTTTTCTTTTTTTTAAATATGAATTAAGGGCTCTACTCTTATTTGCACCCTAAGATCACCAAATGTGGCGATATGTGTTCTGCGTTGGTTTTTGGTGTGATTGCGTGTTATATGGCAACCTTTTTGGAGTTATTTAATTGCTCGTTGGTTCGTGTCGTGCGTGTTTTTGAAATGGCCTATGTTGCAATGAGAGACGTGGTTGCAATAGGGTCTGGGAGATTATTTTTAGTGGCTGTACATGATAGAAGTAAGAAAACGCTAATGCAGTGTATTAAAGAATGGATTGAGAGCCTTGTACAACTATTTTTTCAAATGGCTGGAAATCTTACAAGGATTTAGGAAAAGAAAGTTTTGAACATTTATTTGTGAACCATAGTATGAATTTTCTAGATAGTGTGTCTGGCTGTCATATAAATACGATAGTGATTATGTGGCGGCATATTAAATGCGGTATGAAATTGGTATTTATGCTGTTCTAAAAAGTATTCATTCATGGTAAGTGCATTTTATCTTATTCTTGTTCTTATTTTGGAGAATGTTATGTTCATTGTTTTTTTAGTATGAATTTCTGTCGTTATTGTTGTTTTTTGAATTGTTTGAAATTTATTTTAGTTTATTTTGTTGATTAGTGCCTAGTGCCTAGATTGTGCAATTCGTAGATGTTTTTTAAAGTTGAAACAGAACGCTGTGTACATGGTATTCTTTGAAATTTATTGCTGTTATGTTAATTTATTAAAGCAAGGTGTGCATAGTTCGTAGATTTGTTCATTGCCTAGATTGTGCAATTGGTAGATGATTTTTTTAAAGTTTAAACAGGATGCTGTGTACATGGTATTCTTTGAAATTGATTGTTGTTATATTGATTTATTAAAGCGAGGTGCGCGTAGTTCGTAAATTTATTCGTTGCCTAGATCCTGGTTTTTTTTTTTTTTTTTTTTTTTTTTTTTTTTTTTTTTTTTTTTAAAGTTAAAATATATTGCTGTGTGCATGGATTCTTGTCAAATATTTTTGGTTAGAAACTTTACGTTTTTGCTATCTAAATTTTTTGTTTCAGATTTTTAGCTTAAATTGTGTGTTCAAAACGTGTTTTTTGCATGTGCGAAAATCGCATTTTTGGAGACATTTTAGGCTTAAAGTTCGAAATGTAGATAAAAAAAAATTTAGATTGTAATATGGCAGCGTGAAGTTTCTCGCCGCATTTGGCGACCTAAGGGTGCATATAAGAGTAGTTCCGAATTAAGTGTTATTGTTGTATTTTTTTCCTTCCATTTTGAGAAAAAAAAGGGTTCGTGGACAGTAGAATCACATTCATGATTAAACACAGTTTCATTTACAGCTGGTCAAGAGAATAAACATCTGTTGGATGTGCTAAAATACATCTAGATATGGCTGACAAAACAACAGTTCGTAACAGTAACAAATTGGCAAAATCACTTGTGGGAAGTTTGTACTCATAGCATTGTAAACAGAACTTCCAGTAAGATCGAACAGTCTAACAAAATAGAAAGCAATGAAAGCTTGCTTATGAAATGCCCAAAAAAAAAGGGAGGTTGAATATTTCTGCAGCAGTGGCTGTTTAGCAGATTGTGCAGAGAGAGTGGCAGATGTTTTATTGTAAGAGTTGCAGATAGAAGTGCGGCTTAGAATTCTGCAGGAATGACTGGCACGCTTTTGCAGTAATCTCCATCAGCCTTATTGATTTGACAGTAGTCAACTTTCATAGTCAATGGGCTAAAATATAAGTGTCAAAAAATTAATTAATCCAGAGATCAAACTGAATCTTCTTACCCTATTTCTTTGTTCTTTACCTATATGCTATCAAGACTGTTGCTATTTGGTGATTAATTATATTATCTATACTGATTATATCTAGTTATACTCATGTTTAATTTTTAATCCTAATTATTGATTTTTATAGAACATATTTAATATCTCTCTGGAGCTGATAAAAATACCTTTCTATTTTTATCAGGTTTCATTATATAGATAAAGAACAAAAGAAAGGATTTTTCTATGGAGATAATGCACATGATGGTGATATTTTTGTATCAAAGAAATACTATGGTTTAAAATTCTTGAGAATACTTATTTCATGGCAATGTGAATCATAATTCACCTGAAAATTTTAGAATTGCTAAATACTGGTTACAATATTTTTTATTTCAAACCCCCATTCTGGACATAGTAGTGGCATAATTTCTCATCATTAATATAGTCGTGCACCCATGCTTATCATTTGGTAAAGTTCAAATTCTTAGATCTTGCACCCTTCCAAGATTTTTTTTGACAAAATATTAGACTGTTATATAATATATGATAAGGCCTTGTCATCATATATAAGAAAATATAAAAGTAGTTCTAAATAAAATTCCTTTGCTATTTATGTTCAGTACTTTCAATTAGAATTGCAGTTTATTATACATACATTTTCTGTAAATTTTTTTCCAAAAAGACAATCATGTGTTGGCTCACTTTGACATGTAACTGATTCATTGTATCCTTCATTTTTTTCCATTCGGATTCCATTAAATACAAAAAGTTTTTGGCTTTTCTTAAAATCTCTTCCACGCTGTAAGCTAACATCCTAAAAATAATAAACAAATTCACTGATTTAGTTGAAATAGTACATCCTAAATTAGTCTGACTTAAATAAAGCAAATGAGATACAATATTCAATAAGTGGCCAAATGTCAAGAGGAATAATCAAGATTTCACATCTGATCACAAGTGAAAAAATGTCACAGATGGTGTATAATTCAAAAACTGATAAATTACTGTAAATAATCTTTAGGAAAGAGCATTTCATTTTATAATTGTTATTGGCACTCTTCTGTTATCAGGACCATATTCAGAAATGTATGTATGTATGCATGTGTGTATGCACTTATATGTGTGCATGTATACACAAACATACATGCGTACATACATATATACATTCAAACATGAACATATATATACATGCATACACAGAAACATTTCTGAATTCGGTCCCGATAACTGATGAGTACCTTATTATTTAATAGTAGTATCATATAATGTCCAGAAAGAGCTGATAAGGAAAAATGTGATATAAATTGTCTTTTTGAATGACTGATTTATTCTGAAATTTAAATACTGGATTAACCAGTATGAAACTAAAATAAATTCTAGATAAATTCTATAAAACAAAGCACAAAAAAAAAAAAAAAAAAAAAAAAAAAAAAGACAAAAATTTTAATAAAATTTCATACCATCCAAAATGGTTTATTTTTAAAAGAAATTTTTTGGCTGGAATATTGGCTCATACAACAATATGGGTAAAATACTACCATTCATCTGACAGTTATGTTTGGGAAATGAAAATGAAAGAAAATATTTTATTTTGTTACAATTTTAATATGCAAATTCTTTTCTTAAGCTTAAATTAGAATTTCATTTAATTTATTTGTATATCATTTGTAAAAAAATTAATATAATTTAATGAAACTGTGGGTTTCAGACATTTTAAAAACCATTATGTTGTTTCTAATTATTTAAACTGGAACAGATTATATGGTACATATATTCCTCACAGAACAACAAAATCGCATCAAAACAAAACAATTAAAAAATGAGTAGCTCATTTGCAAATACAGTCAAAAGTCGTTAATCCGGACTCGTCGGGACTTCGGCGATTCCGGATTATCGATTTTTCCGGATTATAGATCATCAGTTTAAATCTCGTATGATGGCATGCAGAAATTCTAAAATTAAAAATATGAAACCGTAATTTATGAAATAAAGAACAATTATGATCTAAAGGGTATCAAAATTTACAAAAAAAAAAAAAAGCTTAATATTTATTTGTTTACTTTATTAAACATTCTTTCAATGTAAGTTGTTTAAGTTGCTTCGTTTTATGTGATAATACTTTCTCCTTAATTCTAGACATAATTTCTTGTTGAGTTACAATGTTTCCGTTGTTAAAAAGCTGTGCCGAGAATACCGACTACTTGTCAATCGAAATTTTTCGTTTTCACTAACCTCTCTGTCACATTCTTCATGTCTTTATCCATCTTTTGGAGCAATTCCACTTTTTATTTGTTGGACATCGAAACATACTTTCGTTTTGTAGATCCTTTGGAAGTTCCAGCATCGGAAATTCTATTTGACATAATCGAAATTTCAAGTTTACTTTTATAAAATTGCTCTTACAATCTGCAAAAAATAATAAGCGGGATCCAATTCGAAGATTAAGGAACAACGCAATCATTAACATTAACTGAAATAGATAATTTTAGCTTACACCGTCCGTTATACCGAAGAATCTGTAAGGATCCTTAGAGATTCTTTGGTTATACATTAAACGCGCAGGCGAAAACGTATTCTGCACTTGCGCACACGCATATGCGCAGTTCACTCCGCACGCGTGAAACGCCTGTGCGCATGTGCCAAAGCGGCGCATGCGCAGAAAGTTTTTAGCTTTGAGGTCCGGATTATGGGTGTTCGAATTAACGACTTTTGACTGTATTAGGTAATCCCATCTTTTGCAGGCATAAAGATTTTAAATCTACATTGCATTACATTTTAAAAGACTAAAAACATTCTTTGCCAGATACAAAAATCACTCTTATCTGACGAAACACTAAACAAACAAACTTGATTCGGCCAAATATCGCATAATACGTACTCAAAGCAAAATAAAGTTCCTTGAAATGAGAAGTTGAGATAGATAATTTCCAACAGCTGGAGTTATTTGGCAGTTTCACGAGCATGGGCATCATTTCTGTTTACTGATACAGGATATATTTTCAGTTTTTGAGAATGAAATATATTGTAGATTTAGAGGTCACTTGTTTGATAAAAAAAAAATTAACTGTCATTTGATGAGAAATCAGTACCAAAAGGTGACTAGTATTTTTATGTCTGCCATATGTAATAAATTAAATTTTACGTAATTAGCAACAGCATGATGGGGAAATTTAATAAATCTTACCAACAATGCATTTAGAATTAAAAAAATCATGAAAAAAGTTATCAATTTTCAGTATTTTTCATAGATTAGACTAAATCAAACTCGGATTTAAGCTTAGAAAAGAATACTGCACAATCAAGTTCTAAAAACTTATTTTTTAATTCTTATCTCCGGGAGTTATTTGATAATAACAAAATCACATAGTATAAATTGTACTTAACTTTCTATTTAAGAATGTTGAAACTGAGGATGGGGATGATCAGAAAACATCAAATTCAGTTCAACAAAATACATAAAACTAAAATTATATGAAGAGATAAATGAAAGAAATAATTTATAAAATGTTATATCTTTATAAAAAATCCTTTTAAAACTTTAAATTGAACTTAAAGTTTATATATATATATATATGTGTGTGTAAGATATAAAATATGTAAATCAAAATTTGAATATTGTTATAATGAATATTAAGAAATACTAAAAATTTAAAAAATTGAATAACTGTAATAAGATTTACACAAGGACAAGTAATGTAATTGAAAAGTAAAATTCATGGAAAAATTACTTTGGAATTATGGTATAAGTAATTGTATAATGTATAAGTGGTAAATAATTGTATGTAAAGATAGAGTATGCTAAAAGAGCACTGGTTCAAAAACAGAGGCCTGTTTTTACCTCTATACAATTGATCCTTTTACTCTCCTCATACAAATAAATATTGAAGGCTTCCACTTCATGGAAAATGCAATTTTTTCACATAGAATTATTATTATATAATGGATTGTGGTTGCGTTTTTTTTTTATTTATTTATTTATTATTTATTTATTTAATTTTCTTTCACAAAGCCAGTTATCTTATAGCATAAGGAACAGAAGCCTTTTCAAGCAACTGCTTGTGGATCGCTTGGGCCCTGGTGACGAACACAACAGTCAGCCAAAATGGATATGTTTGTATTTGGAGAAAGCTGTTAGGTCTTCTAGTTTTGTTTAAAATAAGAAAATTAGAAAATTAGATTGTTATGTCAAGATTTTTCCTTGTTAAATTTTTCCTTCAAAATTATCATTTTTGTTTTTTAATTATTTTGTTTTTTTCTTATTTTGCTTTTTTTATTTTTTTTTCCCTCTCAAAAGGCTTCTCTGTTTAAATCTTTTTCTCTTTGAAGGTGGTAGTGGGAGGGGGGCAAATAAATAAGATATAAAATATATAATTTAAATTAGTAATAGCTCCATAATTCTTTATTTTATTTTGAATACCTTCCCTTCCTGTTCTAAAAGTAGAAATTATTTAAAATAACTTTTACTGGACTGTGTCTTTTAAAAATTAATCTGCATCATGCATCTTATATAACGTGTAGCACTGCGGATATCTTTTCTGCTATCAGATTAAAGAAACTTTTGACCATATATCTTATGCTTTGCTGAATGCATACTTACTTTACACAGGCCACTCATCTCTTTGCTTCATCCGCTTGTCTAAAAAGCTGAAAAGCTATACAAAATTGTGGGGTGCTTATTACACTGATGATGATGTGTGAAAAAGAATATATGTATCCAAAATTAGTTATTCGGCAAAAAATTATGTCTTGCCTTCAGACACATCTATCTGCAAGTGTCATTATATCTATGCAATAAACCTCGCTTTTGCATTTATCACCCAATCATCAAGATAATTTACAGATATACATCAAGATAATTTACAGATATACACAGACACACATAAAGCTTGTATATGATTTAGATATACACAAGGGCTATCTGCCTAAGGAGATCGATTTTATGAAAGGCTTTCAAAGGGAAACTAGTGTGCATTTATTAATTGGTAATATTTTAACAGTAGTAATGATGCTTATGTACATTTTTATAAAAACAGGCAAATCATTAAAATTCATTAATGTAACATATTTTAACAATATATTTTTTTTAAAACATTTTCTGCAATAATTTTTTATTTAAGGGTGCAATATCAATTAAATTTTAACTGATTACTTGTAAATAATTATCTGTAGTTCATTATAATTAAATATGGAGATTGTGGAGACCATTAGGTTTTTTTTTTCAGAGCAGCACATATGAAAAAGCAGTTGTGCCTTTGGTGGGATTAAAACTGTGGCTCTTCTAGTTGTTAGCTGAATAACCTAATTACTTACATCATATATGAAAGGGATGTAATAATTCTTTATATTTTTTCCAATTAAAGGGCAATTGAGAAAAGGCATGAGACTGAGTTCCAAATCCAAATGAGTTATCGTCCATTACTTTTTAGTTCAAGCCCCACTACAGAGACCATTAGCTCTTTCATAGCAAGAAATGTAAAAAATCAGTCATATGCCTGCTGGAATTTGAACCACTGATCTTCTACTTGCTAGCTAGATGTACCACAAGAATATATACATTAGAAATCAACAATTATTTACATAGTTGCTTCTACTTAAATTTTTTTTATCTATGTTATCAACGAGATTATTTCATTTATGTTACCTATAGACAAAAGTGGGAAACAAAGCAATTTTTTTATGGCACAGTCACAATTAATAATATTCAAATCATGAATTTTTATTTCATTCCATATAGAGAGGCTGTTTACACATTTTTAGAAGGATTTTGAGGCGATCTAATGAATGCCTAAAATTTAAAGAGTATTTTTTAAATGTTAGATCTGATAGCCTTTTCTCTGCTCTATAAGTCTGCATTGTGATTTCCATGACAGAAGGGCTTTTCATAAAATTTCCAGGATTTTCATTACTTCCAAGAGTCTATCAATTGGCTCAAAAACAGCTCTTTTCTAAAGACTAGAAGGCACAATAGTCCGTAAATGAAACATCAGAAGAATTCACAGGATTATGTGAAAAGGTATATATGCAATACCTGTATCAGTCTTCATTTTTTCAAGAAATGCAGAAGTACTTTTTAAAGTATCACTCATTGTATTTTCTTGATGTAGTTTCACACTTTGCTTTGAGATAAAGCAGTGGTTTTCAAACTGTGTCAAACAAAGTCAAGTCAAACCCTAGGGTTCCAAAAGTCAAAATAAATATTCAAAAGGAAAATTATAAAGCACTCACTCTAGTTGACTAGTGTTTATTAGCTAAAAAATATAAAAATGCATTTACTTATAGATTAGATTAAAAATAACATATGGCCATCATATGTCAGAAAGAATGATGTGCAATACTTTGCAAGATTAAACAGTTTTCTAATGGAAAATTAATTGAATTTAGCCAACAGTGTTAAAAATTATGCAATAGAGCACATTTCTCAGATGAAAAATACTAAAAAAGAATACTTCCCATTAAAAAAAACTGGATAAAAAATTTGTTTGAATATAATGATAAATCAGGAGACTTGTAAATCTTAATAACATTTTTTTTGGTTGTTAATTTTTTTTTTTTTTTTTTTTTTTGTTTGTTTGTTTTGTGTGTGTGTGTGAGAGAGAGAGAGTCTTGGTTTATAATTTTATTTATTGTCAATACAACTGCATTTAAAAACTACAATTGATTTCCGCGTCGGCAGACTTTCTCTTGTTACCAATAGTTCAACTTTAGAAACATTAGAAACAATACATACCATTTTGATGGCTTTTCCCTTTTTGATCAATAATATTACTTTTGCACTCAGAAATTTTAATACTATGCATTTGACAAGATCTTTGAATTATGATATATTTCTCTTCTGAAAGAGCAAAAGCATATCCTTAAATCCACAGCTTGTTTATAGGCAATATTTTGAAAGAAGGGTAAATTTAAAAATAGCCGACAATATTTCTCATTTCAAACAATTCGGTGTTGCCATTTGCTTCCTTTTTTAATTCTTTATCAAAACATTCCAAAAATGTGTAAACACCCTCTGTATTTTTTTAAATGATTAATAAATTTCAAACCATACATTTTATCCAGCATCTATAATTCATCTGGTTTTATCTGCACTATCTGATTAATGTAGATCCCCTTCATAACTGTATCTTATAACACTAATATTTTTATTGCAGCTAATTTAATAATATTCACTACTCACAAACTTTCACAATAATATCCTGGTACTTTTATGAAGCTCTGTTTTTAAGTCAAAACTAGCAACCTATCTAAAGGTATTGACATTTTGTATAGTAAGAAAAGGAAGACTTGGATTTATTAGATTGTGACAAAGCACATGCCTTTATGGAACATATTTTAAAGGAAACTGGCTTTTATTTATGTTACATACGAAGAAAACTACTGAAAACTCGCATACAGCTAGCCGTTTGCTGGGATTTTAAGCTGTGTTGAACTACCAGTTTTCACTGGCCTTTTCTGCAGGTCTGATCCTAGCGGGGGCAAGATGATTATCAGTTAAAAAATTTTAAACGTAAGGTTTGTAAAAAATGCGTCTAATTTCAATTTGCACGTGAGCAGCCGTATTAAAATTGCAGAAAGGCATCGAGACTGCCTTTCTGCTCTGTCGCTGGTGGATACAAAAGAAAGACAAACTGAAATTTAACTATGTATATTTCTTCCACACTAAATCTCAAAATAAAGCTATAACAAAGCAACAAACGTAATTTCTTTTCACAATTAACATAAGTGACATTATATATGCAAAAATAACGAAATATTTATCAATTTTCGAAGACTATTGAATTACTTTGATTCAAATAGCCGCACAGTATCAACATAAGAAAATATATCAAATTATTTATATCTATCAATATTTGATTAAAAAAAATAGTTTACATTAAGGAGTGGATATCTGGGAACAGAATATAGATACATTTTAGTAATGAATTTCAGCTACGGGAAACCGAGCCTGAAAAGCTGTTTACGATTAAAAACTACGTCGCCTAGCAACCGTACGATAGAAAAATGTGAGTGGAGTAGTTTCCCAGTTACCTTCGTTATGTTGTTTTCCTCAAAATGTTCTCAGGGTTCAGCGCTTTCGCCATACCTTTTTAATATATATACGCAAGACATCCCTAAAGGTCCTTCTGTTAATCTTGCACTCTTTGTCGATAACACCGCTATACTTACTAAAGCCTGCAAAGCAATCGTCGTAAGAAACCAACTTCAAAACTATCTCATAAAACTGGAAAAATGGCTCACCCTATGGAAGATTAAAATAAACACTGATAAAGCCAAAGCAATGATTAAGCGAAGCATGAACTATTACCCTCTATCTCCTGAAATATTTATTGAAGAAATAGACTGGATTAATGAAATCAAATATCTTGAAGTCACCCTGGATCAAAAATTTACTTTCAGAACCCACTTCCGTTCAGTAACACAAAAATTTAAAATCACCTCTGCTACTATGCAACCACTTCTTGGTAGAAGAAGCAATTTATCTACAACAAACAAATTAATTTTATATCGCTCCATACTTCGTCCAGCCCTTCTTTATGCAGCTCCGATCTAGGGCCATGCAGCTAAAACCAATCTAAAACAATTGCAAGTACTACAAAATAAAATTTTACGAGAAATTATCAGTGCTCCTTCGTATATTCCAAACACTTACATTCACAGAGACTTACAAATAGAGCCTATGCAAGACTATATTAAACGCTTAGCGGTCAACATCTTTTACACTGTACAATCCTAAAATAATAGCCCTATTAGGACTCTCAGACACCCAAGAGAAAAACATCGGTACCCCGCTGACATCCTACACACCTAACAACAGTAACCGCAATTGAATCATTAACGCTTAATTGCGGTAATTAATTTGCGGTTTACACCCGCTGCTCCATCTTGTAACGTCACTGATTTCAAGCCCCGTCCCCATTCGCCGTCGCTATCGCGGACAATAGTCTCCCTTCCCCACCTCCTACTACACTATTTTTTCGTTTTTCCCTAGATTGCTTATCAGAAGCCTAGTAAAAAAAAATGTTTCTACATCTTGACACTCGAGAATATAATACGATCTTCGTCGTTGTTCAAAATGTTTACTTGATCTTCTTTAGACGAATAATAAATAATTTAAAACTGCTGTTTAGCTAGATGACTATGAGAGGTACTTAGAAGCTAGTGCAGTGGTCTGAAACTCAAATTGCATGCGGACAGAATATATAATCTAAAAGCAACTGACGGGTCAGATTTTTTTTTTTTTTTTTTACAAAATGAAAACTTTTATTAACAAAATAAGAAAATATTAAGTAATTTTTTAATTTGCTTACGAAATATTTATCAAAGCATACGTAAACAACAATAATAAAGCTCAATCCTAGACGACACTGCACAAATCAAAATGTTGTTTACTCATCTTAGGCTTAGACACGCCTTTTTGCGCCGTAATATTATCTATATGTCTCTTTTTCCAACTCCAACTACCACTGGTAGCTGAGATTATTGAATATTTTACTCGATGTGTTCTGGATCAGGAAACTAATGCCTTCATGAGCGCCTAACGATAAAAAGTCCTAGAATCCCACCTTGGATGAGCTGGAAGGTTCAGAAGAGTGTGTGACCGATTGTCACGTGAGCGTACCGAAGGCATCGCATTGGCTGAGGTAGTTCCATGTCAGCCTGAATTTAAGGAAATATATGTAAAAGTAATTCATTAAAATTGAACAAAATAGGATTAGATAATGCTGTTGGAAATCGCAAAACAGAATGTAAGGTGAGTACTGTCATGTTGTAATCGTATATTCATTTCAGAAGACACTTTAGTTACTTTACAATACACATTATGTATACAAAAAGTACGCTCACTCCCCATAACTTCATGACCGGCTTTCACAGTCTCATTTACCGGTTTTTAAACGCTTGGTGATGCTTGGCGCTCCAAGGATAGATATTTTGATTTCTTAAGATTTGCGAAAAACTTGATTGTTTCGAGATAAAAATAACGCATTTGATGCTGACGATTCCACATTTATTGCATTATTTCGAGTTACCAAACCTATAGCATGGACCTTATTAATAAATTAAGGACGTACTTTACTAGAGAAACCACATCAAAGACAGCAATAACTCCTGAATTAAAGGTAAGAAATAATTCGCTTGTTTTCATATCTGTATGATATAGGTTTCTGGCTATTGATCTATCACAGGGTTTCTTAAAATTTTTCAGTCGCGACCCCTTTTTATCACTGAGATTTGTTTCGCGACCCCCAGGACCCCATAATATTTACAAAAAAATTGTGGGACCCCCATAAGTATTGCGCGAATCCGACACACGGGTGAGTGAAACTGTCGATGTTTTCACTTGTATTGCAGGCGCGTAGCCAGGAGGATGCCCTGGGCGCCCGAGCACCCTCCCGCTTCACCACTACCTATGCTTAAAAAAGTGCTAAATAATCTTTGATAGATAACATAAAATAAATCTAATAGTCTTTGATAGATACTAAATAATCTTTGATAGATAATTTAAGTTATAAATTTTTAAATATTGCTTTCCAGCTTCCCAAAATATTCATTTGATTAACAAAGAATGAACGGAAAGCTTACGCTTATCCATTTAGAAATAAGTTCAGAAAAAGTCATCCTTCCTCGGCAAAAAAGCGGAAAGAAAATACTTCGAAGGTTATGTGACACTTTCAAGTCGTAAGGCTTTTGTTCTTTTACAGGTTTGAATAGTCCTGCGTATCCGGTCCCACTTTCCCTTTAGCTATCAAATTTAATGTCACTAAAGAAGTAAAAGCCTTTTTCATTTCGTTCCAACCATCTAAAAGCGAAATTACCCTATATGCGGTCAGGTCGTAAATTTACAATCCCTTTTTTCAGGGGGAGAGCTGACAAGGATGGGATAATCTTGCTCGGGGTCTTGAGAAAATGTGGGGTAGTTAAACATCTAATTCTCTACATCAGAGTTTATACAGAGAAATACAAATTGATGTTCTCGAATATATGCAATTTTTGTACAATGAAAAGCATATTGAACGATAAACTCTAAGACAAATAACAGCTTTTTTATAAAGCCATAGGCGGAAAGCAGATATTCGCAACATGAAGATTGTGTAAATTGAGTTTTTCATTCGAATTTTTTACATGTATGCAAAGTAGCGAGTATCTGAGAAAATTTCATAACCAAATGGCCTTCCACCTTTTCACGTCTAAAGGACTGTTTTTTCAATTACATTGGGTACGCTGCTTTTGGTTAATTTCTAAAAATGAATTATCAATAAAATTGTTTTTCATTTGAGACTTATGAATAAAAACGCAAACTAGACTGCGAAAATTTTCAGAATGAAGTTAAATAATACTTAAAAATACTATTGAGCACTTTTGGGTTTTATAGTAGTTTGTTTATAAGATCCTTAATTATATATTTCTATGTATAGGTATATTATTTTGGAACAATCTAGATCCCGGTTATCCTTTTCAAAGCCCCTATCTTTATATACAAGTCATTACCTATGTCATATTCCCTCTTCCCTCTTACTGGTTAGTTCGGCGTTACAGATCGAAGTTTTTTTATATTTGTATATATTCAGTATTGTAGACGTATCTGAAGTTAATTTGGCTTGTTCTCCGTCGGTTAGACGGAGATTAAGTGAGAAAGAAGTGTTAGGGACTTCATAGGGATTACATTATACAATCATTAGATCCGACTTTCCTTTCTTTTAAATTTTATATATATATATATATAATACATATATTAAATACTACTTTAGAAGTATACTAAAAATATAGCAATTTTTAGCTCTTATTTATATATCTATTGTTTGTCTGGTTTGTTGTTATAGCAAGATCGACGGCATTTTCCAAGGGTAGTAAGGGTCGAGAACTTTCTAGCAAAAAACTGACTCTTATGCACGTTACCGTGGGAAACCAACGAAAACGCCAATACATCCATTCCGTTCACCGGACTCGAACCCCAGATCGACCTGCCAGATTCAACGATTTAAAGCTCAGTTCCGTAGTAAGCCCCCCCACAACACCCACATTATACATCAAATTTATTTACATGTGTTTATAAAGTATAATGATGCAGTTAATCATAAAGAGGGATTATTACTCACTTCGTAGACTTTTGTAAGCTTCAGATTCTTAAAGATAATCTCAATGCGTGCTATTTGCAAGCGTTTTACTTATTTTTTGCTTGAATTATATTTAGAAAATTATTTAATTGGTTTAGCTAAAAGCAGTTTTTTTTAAGTGAATTTCAGGTAAGAAGAGAATTATTCATTTTCTTTATTCTGAAGCATTCATTTTTTTTTAATGGCAATTATACGGATCACTGACTAAGGTGCGCGATAAGGACAGATTATTGCTTCGAAATTTTAATTTTCATGTGTAAAATGAATTCATCTGCATTCTATAAGAAATCAAATATTAAAAATATTTTTCGATTCTCGCCGTTATACTATTTTCTTAAATATTCAGCAATTATATTCAAATATTCCAATCCAATGATAATAATCGTACAGAAAATAAATAAGAAAACAATTAATGGAATTTATTGATTTAATTGACTTTTCGCCTTGATAACCCCTATTTAGAGTTAATAGCAGGCGATCAGCTTTGTGGGGTTCATTTTTCTTTATGGTATGCTTAGTTATATGTATGTTTCCTGTTGCTCATACTCGTCACTCACTTTTAATCTCTTGGAAAAAAAATCAGTATTAATCCAGAAATATTTAGACGCTAAACTATTTACTAGCGTTTCATGCCACAGTGTTAAAAAAAAAAAAATCCATTTTAATTTGATTCTATGCTCATATCCTAGTCTAAAATTAAAGCTGTCAGAAATAGGGGTTGCTCTTAGGAAGCCTATTAGAAGCAGTTATAGGAAATGTAGTCAATACTTATTATTATGGATTAAACTTTCCCTATTTGACACTGTATGAAACAGATATTAGTCATTCTAAAGAAAAGAAAGGTGAAT